TACAAATGGGAAAAGAACAATCACAATGTTTGCTTAAGATCACACAGAAGTTCAGTACGGAGGGAACTGAATCCAATCTCCTGTATCTCAGGCTAACACTTTAAACACTGGCCGTACCTTGCTGTTGGCAAGCCTTTGGTTGACATTTATCTAGATTTCACCTTCTACAACACTTTTTAGTTCTATAATTGTTTTTATATTTCTTTATCTGAATGTCCACATTTGTTTTGATATTTGTCATGCATGGAAATGGCGTTTCTTTGTGTAGAATCTCAGAGTTCAATAATAATTATCTGACGATTACCCCCGTGGAGAAGACAATAATCACTGAACACGTCGAAGGGACTGAGAAAGAGACATGAGAAGCTTCAGGCTCAATTTTTAATGACCATTCATTTCAAGCGGCTGTTGTGGAAAATCTAACTTCACACAACTGAGCTTGCAGTTTCAGAAATGCCTGTGACCTGCGGCGCTCGGACTTCAACAGGAATCACAAGTGCTCAGCAGCTCTCAGAATAACAGGCCCCAGCTGTGCCATGCCAAAGTTGATTTCAAAACAGGAAATTAAGTTCAGGAGCTGAGAGTCTTGTTCTATGCAGTAACCCTTGGACAAGATACACTTTTACCTTAGCGTGATGCAACAGCAGTTCTCTATGTCCTTTACGCTGATAACACACCAAGAAACTTGAGTTGTGCCTGAAACTACGGGAGAAAAAGCTGCATCCATTAAGAACTCCATAGCACAATTAAGCTACAGATGATTTGGTGTTACTTTCAAAGTCATGTACATACACTGTACACACGAGAAAAAGAAGGCTCTGAGAGGATAAGGGATTTTACCATTCTGGTTTCTTCCCTGTCACATTCTCCCTGAACTCGCATCCAATCCCAACTCCCGTTCTCGAAACACCGGACCTTGTTTGTTGTGAAATGCAACGGTTCAACTTTCTCCTCAGTTGCCCCTGCACTCCAACCATACACTTTACCAAGCTGCAGACGAGACACAACCTGAGCCAAAAAAATGGCAAGTGACATGCAGCTTGGCTAAATATTGCGGAAGATTAATTCCTTCTTGCCAGGACCTTCAGCAAAACCTTGAGACAAGAATATCCATCTGCTCGGTCTTTCAATGGGCATCGTGAGGCCTGCAAATAAGGGACATTCAGGAAAGGGAGTAATACAAATAAACAGCTTATTTATCCAATTTATGTTTTAATTTATGCAGATTAAAGTCTTCCTCTTTGGAGAGGAAGACACAAATAGGCTGTATGATCTCCTTCCAAGATTTTTCTGAGATGTTTTCAAAACAGAGGGCTCTCCGCTCCTCCTCCACCCACTCTCTTTGAGGAATTTTTGCCTCACAGGCTTTGAGTTATCTGACATCCCAGCTAAGCTTTCATGGCCCTCACCAGGACCACAAAGCAAGGCAATCATCAGGCTTAAATGCCTCCGATGGCTGTTTAGCATTATGTTAGCTACAAGCCACAAAACAATGGCAAGGACAGCTTGTTGCAAGAACACCCCCACAAACCAGGCCCTCTCCCCATCTACGCAGAGCCTGAACATTTCTCTGAGATGCCAGAGATGTTATTTTCACCTTTGAGGAACTTGTGTTATGCTGTCTAAGGGGAGACAAACATTGATAAATACCTGAAACCAAGGTTGTACGGTAAACGAAGCCTTCCACCAATAACTCATCTGTGAAGAAGCCGGAATGCATCTTAGACCTTTAGACACGAAACGGTCCACACAAAGGGCATCTTCCTTCTGAACTAAACAACCACAGAGGCACAGAGAAGACTGTTGTTACAAGAAAGCAGTGGTCAGAAATGTGTGTGCTTCAAAACCAGGCAAAACAACTAGCCAGGCTGTAAACACGCAGAGCTAAACGCACAGCTTAGAGGCAGACATCCTTCAGAACACATCTTCATAATTCTAGGAAATGTTGAGTTGCGCACTGCTAGTGTTTCATCACTCACCAAAGACTGTTCATCCACAGAAAGAGCAGTGCTTTACATAAATACTGGGAAAAGGAGAGAAGTTCAGCTTTACTAATGGTGACATCACGTAATAGAGGGTCTAATCCCCAGACACAGCCTAAAATAGATAGTAAGCAGTTAATGCACCAGAGCTGAGCAGAAGGCCAAATAAAAAGCCATTGCAAATGTTTCTAACTATTCCATAGAAATGACCTTGTATTAGAACAAGGTTCCCAACAGAGCAGACTCAGGGAGAATCATAGCCGGCCCACATCTTCACGTGAAGTATGAAGACTTAATGTTTCTGATCCACCAACAGCTACGAAATCCCAGATTTCCTGTTCAGTGGTGAGGGAACCCTAATGAAGAAAATGACAACACACAACTAAATGAAGAGCACTTAGTGTGTTCTCTCACTCTGAAGGGTAGGTTTCCCAATCACCCAGTCACTAATCACGAAATTAATCTGCGTTTTAAGTCTCTTGGAAGTGCTTCCCTCTCCCAGTGCAGGGACAATTCCTCCCAGGTCAGCTCATCTATGAACAGGATTTGGACTCAAGTCAGTCTCACCCTCACAAGCCTTAGATCTTCCTTCTAAGAGCAACAACTCAGCCTCCCAGCACTAAGAGCTGTGCCGCCGCCCTGACTTTGACTGGGACTCATATGCATTTGTACCACGGAGTCAGACCCAGCCTGCTCTCATCCCCTTCTGCCTGCGCTGCTGGGACACGGGGGGACTGCAGCCGTTCAGCTGGAAGGTTAGGAACAGCTCTGGACTTCCTCCCTTCAGCACATGGTAGGATCATTTGGCTCAGACACATGCAAACTTCATTAGCTGTCCCGTCAGCCCCTCCGAACTTCCTGTGAAGCCCTTTTGGTAGCAGCAGGCTGATGTCAGATCTCACGCATTTCAGAAACCGGGCTGGGGGGAACATCTCCAAAATCTTTGCTGCTGTGGCTCTCGAGGCCACAAACTAAGTGCAGTTTTCGCTGGTTTTGATATTCCCTCCTGTTCTTACCTATCCTGCAGCTACGGACACAACTGCAATCGTTACGCCAGAAAAAACTAGCCTTGAGTTCAGTGATCTGCAACAGACTCCCTGCATAACTTAGTCTCTTAGCTTCTCTGACCGAGCTCCTCATATGTATTTAGGTTCAATGTCCAAAGGCCTTTATGTAAAACCCACCTACAGTTCAAAAATATTCCTAGGTGCAAGAATGCCATTGAGAACTGATAACCGAGCACCTGTCAGGTAGGTTTCTTTAGGCAAAAAATGGAGATCACATGATGTCTGCCCTGCTTATTTAGATTGCAGACTTTATAAGGAAAGGGAATGTCTTTCCCTGAGTTGGCCTTCACTTTCTAGCACAAATAAAGACTTAGTTAACATGACTGCAGCGCAATTTATCACTACTTTAATAATGACAGACTGGAAGGTTGACAAAAGGGGAAAAAACCCCCAAACAAACCAAAACCAAAAATCCTGAATTTCAAGATCAAAATTTCTGACCCTCAGATTTTTCAGTCCTAAACAGAGGGTTTCTAGCAGGCTCTTAGCTTTCAGAGAACTAAACGCAAATAGAGGAAAAAAAAATAATCAGAGCGCTTTGGTTCAGCTCCCCCACTGAAGACCGCTCCCAGAAAAGAAAAAGCAAAAGCCCAAGAGTAAAATGCCTTGTAGATGCCCTTGAAGGCTGACACCACCTGACACCGCCACGTTCGCGCCCCCGTTTCTCTCTACGTGCTCAGCATGCACCTTGCTTAGATAGCTCCACCGAGACTGCCAAACTAGGAAGTTAAAAAAATGCAACAAATTCCCTTATTGTTCTTGTCACTGCAGTAAGTATTTATCTTAGCACCATGTGCTAGGCGAATCATCGTCTGTTCATGCTTTAATCTATCTAATCCAGGATGGAAAAACACAACCCAGCAAATCTTCATTGTTGGAATGTTATTTATAGCCATCCTTTTTTATGAATAAAAGACCTGCTCATAAGTCAGCTGTCAGATTTCCCATTGTTATTACAGGTCCTGATCCTGTGTGACCCTACTACTAACAGCAGAATGGCCACACTCTTCACCTGGGAGCCCGCAGCTGTTGGTAAAGGCAAGAAGCACTTTCTTGGCTCCTTTTTTTTAGTTCAGCCCTTGCTGGGTGACCAGGCTTGCTCAGCGCAGCCCATATAATGCCACTTCACTCTGTCCACCCCTTCGTGGAGGAGCACTGGGTCAGGCGTTCTGCCCTTCTTGCACCCAACCCAGCATGTGGGTTGCATCCCCATGGACAGAGAGGCATTTGGGGAAGGGGAAGAAGTTGCACTCCGTCTTCTGTTTTCCTCAGCTGTATCAAAATCCAACCCCAAACGAAAAGATGAAGATGTGTCTATGATAGAGACTATAGAGGAAAAAGTAGTAGTGCCCCTTTTCTGTACACACCTTTGTTTGTTGAACATAAAGCCTGAATTGCCACTGAACCAGACACATGGAATTAAAGCATTCAGATAGGAAAGCAAAGGGGACAGAAGAAAAAAAAAATATCTGCATATATTATACTATAGTACCAGAAGCAAGAAAGTTAAGAAAAAGTATTATTTTAAGAAAAGGATTAAAAAACCCCCCAAACAAACCAACAAACAAACAAACAAACAAACAAACGGTGTGCTCTCAGTTAATTCATTAAGTGCAAAAGCAAATGTAAGTAAGGTGTTGGTATGCCACCTAATAAACATCTCCTGTTACTGCACACCCAAGTCCCATTTTCCAGCCTCACAAATCTACCCCAGTGCTGAGCAGCTGTTTGGAGAGTTGCAGGGCAGGGATGGGGGGGGGTGAGGGAGTTGTTTTTTTGTTTCATTGGGTTTTTCTGAAACAAAACACTAACCTTAACGCACACGTTCACAGTTAAGCGAATGTCATGTGGGCTGTCAGAAAAAAAAGCTAGCAGTAAATAAAAACATAATATTTTAGCAAGAGGTTACTAAACGTGCTTAGGTTGCAAAGTATCGGTTATTCACTACGGGCTACTTGCTTAGTGCTAGAAAGCCTTGTTCCCTTTGCCATTCATTCTGGAGAAATGAATAAATTTAGGCAAATCAGGAGTAGGGTGAATCTGGAGAAATTACAAAGGGGAGGAGTTCACCTTCCTGGCTATGGCTGTCCAGGACTACTTACTCCAGTATAAAACTGAGAGCAGAAATATGATCACATACTAAGAAGTCTAATCAATTCTGGTTTCAACACTGAGCCTATTTAAAATAGATAATGGAATTGCTGTTCCTTGTTCTGTTCTCTCTGCACATTCTCAAGACAGAGGCAGTAGGTAAGTCCTTGCCTGCTCTTTCTAACCCCATGTACCAAGGTTACTTTTATTTATGATTTGTTTCTGAGTATCAGTATATACAGTACAGACTCTAATTCTTCTATATGACAAATGGAGAATGTTTTATTTATTTCTCTGCCTTTTACTATTTGTGGTAAAATATCAAGTATAGACTTTTCCTCATGAATGAACGAGTGGTTTTTTTTTTTCTTCACCTTTAGAGATTCTAGTTGCCTTCCTCCTCCAAGAAAAATCAATGAGGTTTGACTTGATCTCTATAGTTAATTATATATGTAAGTTTAAACAATCAAAACATAGTTTCTTTATCTGTAAACTTCTTAATACTTCAAATAGCTTGTTTTAATTTTCTGCTCGTATTGCTTTGCCGATTATGATATAAGATGAAATTCTTATGGTTGTCTACTGAGAAAGAACGAACAGCGTCTTTGCTGCATTAGCCCAGCAGATCCATCTATTTTTGCACTCTGTGCACTATGTACATAAGCACACTCTGCACTTACGATGGCTAGATTAAATAGCAATCTATAATTAGTATTGAAAAATGCAGAAGGTATTTTTATGCTTCTATTAGATCAGCAATGCTATAACATTGAATAAATCATTTTCCTATGTAAATATCAGCACACAGCCTCAAAATTAAAGATAAACACTGCAGTTCTTAATAGCAATGAAGGGTCTATTGTTTGCACTAAAATAGACTAGACTGCATTAAGGAAAAAAAAAGAAATACAATATTGCCAGAGGTATCAGAGGGAAGCACTGCACCAAGAGCCTATTAAAGGGACACGGTTTTAAAGCAGAACAAGGTTCATTTGCCAGACTTAAAGTAACAGAGGTCTGAGGTGCTCAGAAAGCGCCTTAAGGAGCACAGCCTGAGCGCTGGGGAAATGGGGCGTTTCCCACGTTTTATTTCCCTGTTCTTGATTAATTCTCCATAGCCATGACTCAGTAGCTTGCCTTTCCCAGTTTCTTACCTGGCAGTTCAAATACCTTCCCTCTTCTTTAGTCTGTATTTTGTGGGTATTCTCTCTCTGGAGGCTTCCCACATGTGGTACATGTAAACAGAAACACAAAGAACCTTTGCTCTTCCAAAGTCTACAACTAGCCTCTGCTTCATGTTGATTACTGACTGATTAACACTTTGCTAAGTTTACTGCTCTATTAAGGGATTTATTATGGGATCTTGAAAGATTATTTAGAAAACCCTTATGAGCTTTATTAGATTAGTGTTAATAACTCGTGCTTTAGCACACGGAAGTAAGATAGGGAATGCATATAATATTTTTTGTTGCTTTTTTCCCCAACCATGATTATTTCCACTTTCTTCCCTGAGTGTAGAGGCAAACTACACAGTCATTAATGCACAAGAAACCTCTTCTCACCCCTACCTTCTTTTCCAAACCTTTTCCTGAGATAGAAGCTTCACAGGATACATTATGCTAAGTTAAAGGCTAAACATTTCAAGAAACCTCAACATTTGAGAATCAGCCTAAACTATTTTTTGTTATATTTGGAAGGTATCTTTTTTAAAAAATAAGGATTTCATTTCTATCTGACCACTTTTCAGAACTAGCTCGAGTGATATCCACTTATCAGCTCATTTAACATACCCCCACCAGGGCTGTTTTTCTAATCTGGGCAGCCTCATAATTCACCAAGGCTTAAATAGTTAATATGATTGATTGCTTATCTTTCAAATTGCTTTCAGCCTTGACTTTTCTCAATATCATAGCACCTATGTTTTAAAATTATTACTAATAGTCCTTACAGGGCTTTATAAAGAAGCAAGCTTCATTTTCCCCATTCTACAAAAGGGAAACCGAGGCACATTTGTGCAGCCACCTGCCCTGAGATCAACCAGCACCAGGAGGAGAAGCCATCTAGCTTGCATCTCTGTCCAACATCTCATCCACTGACTTACATGGATCTCAGCATATTCCATTAATAGCTGCACTGACGCACCTCAAATGGCTTGCTTGATTCCTTTGAGAGACCAGCGACCTCTGGTACTGCTATTAGACAGGCAGAAGAGAGGCAAAATGCCCGCAATATTCCAACAGGAATATTCCAAACCTTCTGAGAGAGAGGTTTCATTAATGGTAGATTCAGCCTAGTGCCATCCAGAGAACAACAATTGTAGAGGACCGTAATATACGTCCAACGAGAAGCTTTGTGGTGGGGTTAGCAAGCTCCAAGTGTTACCGAAAAATAATTTTCTTTAAGAGGAATGGAATGAACCCCAGCATGTTTTAACCTTTTTCTTTATCACAGACCAGGGCTCAGCCATGAGAAGACGTTCTCCCACAGTCCATGCTCTAGTGCTCCAAAGGATTGATGCATGATAGAACATGATTCCTCTAATTTTCTATATTTCTACTCACATACTTTTAACTTTCACAAACATAAAATGTACATAACCATGCTGGCACTGATGTTGTCAGCATTAAATTTCAGTCTGATGTTTCCTCAGGGCCCTTCAAATACAAAGTATACCTGATACCTCTATCAGCAGCATAAAAAGAGATGCTTTAACTTCTTCCATTTCCACTTCTAATGGTATAGACTGCACACGTACTAATACTTGTATTTCAAATCCATTTTAGGGTTGGCAAAATTGGGATGCTGGTGCACTTAGATACACTCTGGGATGAAAAGCTGCATTTTCAGTTGTTTAAGAAAGAAGAGTAATAACCGCAATGTAAGACCTAGAACACATAGAAAAGGCAGTAAGACATAGCTGCTTTAGGCAGTAATCCATCGGTGCTTTAGGAAATATGGATTACCTGAATTTTCCTCTCTCCACCCACCTAATCCAACAAATGAGTGAATATAACTGACAAGCTATCACTGACATCTCAAAGTAGTTATCTCGACTACCTCAGCGCAGACAGACTTTTGATCTCAAGTTATGATCTTTATGCAGGATACCTTGCTTAGGGCTTCCTTCTCTTTCTTCCTCGTAATCATTCAAGCTGCCAAAATAGATTTAAAGGCTTATGTGAGTCTGCCTACCATCATCCATACATATCAGTGTATGCTATCATTGTCAGATCCACTGTATGCAAGAAGAAACAAGAGCTCACATTTGTGAGGTTGCTGAGTGTGCACCGAGGGCAGGAGATACCCACTGATACTGCTCTGTGCCCTCCCCGCTCTGTACAGCTGTGTGAACTGCACAGGCAGGCTTCAGGCAGCAGAGAATTTTCTAGCTTTATCATCTGTGCTGAACCAGTAGCAGCACTTAGTGCCTGATATCTTTGAAACCCTGAATTTTTTTTACTCCCATTAAACGTGGATCCTGCAATTAAATTTTAGCAAATGAACTCTATAAGAGGGACTGTTATGGTGAACAGAGGTTTAGCCACTGTCATATTCACTGTCATATTTGGCTTACAATTGGAGGGGGTTTATGGCTGAGAGAAGAGTGGACACAGACTGCTTGACCAGGATATCTAAGGATGCAAATTCTGTAACCTCAGAGTACGCTTATTTCCTTCCACAGCTTATGATAAAGGCACAAAGCGGTAAGGCATTGTAACAATTTCATTCTCACTCTCTCTTTGACACTAAAATTCAGCAAAAGGCAGAAAAGCGCTTGTGGCAGAGCAGCAGATGAGACAGTGAAGCCAGAAAGCAGCTCTTCAGCTAGCTGTGACAGCCTGTTTCATTTGGGGGGGGGCAGAGAACCAAGCCCAGCAGGCAAAGAAACAACACAGTGTATCTCTGGAAGACTCCTGAAAGGCAGCTACAAGTATTAGAGTCATACATGGAATAAACTTCGAAAAGTTTTTAACTTCTTACATTTCTGTAGCCTGCCAGGCGTGGCATCCAGATACATCTGTGTTGCACAA